AATGGTGTGCTCTTGTATACCTTTCTCTATCTTGCTTTATTTGTTCAACACCATGCTTTGGGGATTTATTTTGTTATGTGTAGTTCCAGTCTGTTAAATTTTTCTCTTGTATACAGAGCATGACGGAGGGTTTTATTGAATAACTAGGGCATAGTTCATTTATCCATTCCATTCTCTTAGCAACAGACAGACATTTTTAAAATTTATGTTTTTAGTGTTTCTTTTGCCCACTAGGGCTTCCCTAAGATAGTGACCTAGAAGTTGTTATTGAGCATTTTCACCTTTGCAATTTGTGGCTCCCTCTGTGCTATACCAGGAGCAGTGTTTGAGATTTCTGGTTTATCCACATTCTTGACAATATTTGGTAATAGTTTTTCAAATACAGTCACATATCAAGTACAGTCATGTTTGAGTCAATGATTGGGCCAATGTTGTCTTGTGACATTGTTGTATTAGCTTGTGTAAACAGTGTATATGTTCACAAAATGATAGAGTTGCCCAAAGATACATTTTTCAGAATGTATCCTCACAGTTAAGTGGCATATAAATGTATTTGTTGGTGCAATAGATCTTAAATAATATTGCATCATTATTTTGAATTTCATTTTTCAAATTACTAGTGAATTTGAACACTATTCTTATGTGTGATCTTGAAAATTCATGAAAATGTATATTATGAAAAAAACTATGCATGAATTTCAATACTTTTTGTGCCAGAATAAACTGATAATGATTTGTTATTACTGAAACAAACATTCAATTTATAGTAAAACTTAAGTGGTAAAATGTTAAAATCATTGATGCTTTGTGAAAAATTTATACTGATAATGCCCCAAAGAGATGAGCAGTTCTAAAATGGATAAATCATTCCAAGAAGGGATGAGATGATGTTGAACATGAAGCCCACAGTGGCAATTTGCAAGGAAAAGATTACTCCTCTTCATGCCATAATTGAAGAAGGCTGATGATTAACAGCAGGAACTATCACCAACACCATAGACATCTCAAGTGGCTCAGTTTACACAATTCTGACAAACTTTTTGCTTGATAGGTGCCAAAACTTTTGTGCCCAGATAAGCTTTAGAGAAATGAGGAGCTTTCAGGGCTGCCACTGTGGTGCAGCAGGTTAAAGCCCCAGCCTACAGCACCCCTCTTCTGATCCAGCTCCCTACTGTTGCACCTGGGAAAGCAGGGAAAGATGGCCCATGTTCTGGGGCCCCTGCACCCATGTAGGAAACCTGGAAGAAGCTCCTGGCTCCTGGTTTTAGATTGGCTCAGCTCTGGCCCTTGTGGCCATTTGGAGAATGAACCAGAGGAAAGAAGATCTCTCTCTCTCTCTCTCTCTCTCTCTCTCTACTTCTCTCTGTAACTCTTTCAAATAAATAAAATAAATTGTAAAAAAAAAAAAATGCAGAGCTTTCAATGGAAGATTTCAACAAGTGGGATCAAAATCCTGAATATTTCCTCCAGGAACTGTGACAGGAGATGAAATGTGGCATCACTGGCATAATTCTGAAGGCTAAGCACAATAAAAACAGTGGTTACCAAGTGGTGGAAGTGGTCCAGTCAAAGCAAAAGCAGAATGGTCAACAGCAGATGTCATGGCAAGTTTTTTTTTTTGGATGCTCAAGCATTTTGCTTGTTGACTTTATGGAAGGCAAAAGTACAACTACGTCTGTTTACCATGAGAATGGTTTGAGAAAGTTAGCCCAAGTTTTATCAGAAAGACACCAGGGAGTCTTTACCAGGATGTCTTTTTCACCATGACAATGCTCCTACTCATTCCTTTATAATCAAACAAAAGCAATTTTCTGAAGGCTTTTATGACAAATCATTAGGCATCCCCTTATCCTATTGATTTGACTCCCCTTACTTTTTTGGTTTCCTAATCTTAAAAAATTTTTAAAGAGATCTGTTTTTATTTAGTCAATATTGTAAAAATATTGTATTGACATGTTTAAATTTCTAGAACCCTCAGTTCTTTACAGATGGAATAAATGACTGATCTCATTATTTACAAAACTGTCTTGAATTTTATGGAGGTTTTGTTGAAAAATAAAGTTTACATTTTTATTTTTGTCTAATTCCATTTCTCACTAATCTTTTGAACTCTCTTCTGTATTTATATCTGTTTGAATTTCCTCTTTTACAAATTGCCTGTTCATTCTTATAATTCATTATCTGTTGATCTGTTTTTTAATTGATTCATGAAAATTCTATGCATGTATTTTTACAATAAAATTTTGTTATATTTTGTTGATTTTTATGTATTGCAAATATCTCCTCCAGATCTAAAGTCTGTCCTCTAACTTTGGACATTATATACTGTATCACAGCACTTTTAAATTTTGATGTACTCTAATCTGGCTATGTTCTCTTTTATAGTTTGTGCTTTTTCTAATTCTTTTCAGATCTCAGGGGTGTAATGGTATTTTTTTATATGCCCTCTATTAGGCCTTTGAATTTCATGCTCAGTTGTCCTAGCATTAACTATTAAATTTTCCATTCTTTCCTCACTGATTGCAATATCATCTTTGTCATATATCTGTGTACATCTTTTTCTAAGCTTTACAGTTTATTGAGTGACCTATTTATTCTTCCCGATAACAATGACAATGACCCACTGTTTTTTTATTTAATATTTTTTATTTATTTATTTGAAAGTCAGAACTAGAGAGAGAGAGAGAGAGAGAGAGAGAAATGACAGAGAGGTCTTCCGTTTGCTTCCCCAGGTGGCCACAATGCCCAGCTGAAACCAAGAGCCAGTAGCTTTATCCAAACACTTAGGCTATCTTCCTCTGCTTTTTCCCTGGCCATCAGCAGGGAGCTGGATCAGAAGTAAAGCAACCAGGACATGAATTGGTGGTCATACTTAATCACTATAATTTCATAGTTTTGGTAGATGGGAGAGCCCACCTGGTTAGCTGGTAGGATATTTCCTTGCAACTTTTTCTCCTCCTCTATTTTCGTTTTCAAAATTGTCCTGGCGACTTTTTTATTTTTAAAGATTTATTTATTTGAAAGAATTACGGGGAGGGGGGAAAGATAGGAGAGAGAGAGAGAGAGAGAGAGGGAGAGAGGGAGAGAGAAAGAGATCTTCTATCCACTGCTTTTACTCCCCAGATGGTTCCCAAATGGCCACAATGGTCAGGGCTGGGTCAGGCCAAAGCCAGGAGCCAGGAGTCAGGAGCCAGGAGCCAGAAGTTCCATTGGAGTCTCCCTGCACATGGGTGCATCCTTTGCTGCTTTTCCAGGCACACCAGCAGAGGGCTGAATCGAAAGTGGAGCAGCTGGGACTTAAACCGTCCTCCAAGGGTGCTGGGGCAGCATATGGCGGCTTAACTCTCTGTACCACAGTGCTAGCCCTGTCCTGGCAATTCTTGACTTTATACTTCATAGTGAATTTTAATTTGTTTGTTAATTTCTTTGAGGATTAAATAAACATTTCTTGCATTGAATTTATAATTTTGAATTATAAAAATTATAATTTGCATCGAATTTATAATATTGAGGAATTGCCTCTTTTAAATTTCAAAATTCCTGTAAAAATATAGTAATCAATAGTTTTATTAGAGCTTTTATTTCATTAATAAAGTCATAGAATTTCCCCATAAATACCTTCACATATTTATTGTATTTATTCCTTGATCTTTTAATTTTTGTTTCCATCATATATGTTGTGTTAGAAATTATTACTAAATGTTGCTGGATGACGGGCAGGTGACAATGGGATGAGGAAAATAGCCTTGATGCCTTTGCATTAATTGTTTTAAATATTTATTTATTTATTTGAAAGGTAGAGTTACAGAAAGGCAGAGAGAAAGAGAGAGAGAGAGAGAGAAAGAGAGAGAAAGAGAGAAAGGTCTTCCATCCTCTGGTTCACTCCCCAAATGGCTGCAATGGATGGAGCTGTGCCAATCTGAAGGCAGGAGACAGGAGCTTGTTCCCAGTCTCCCACACAGGTTTTGGGGGCCAAGGACTTGGATCATCCTCCACTGCTTCCCCAGGCCATAGCTGGGAGCTGGATTGGAAGAAGAGCAGCTGGAACTTGAACCAGCACCCACATGGGATGCTGGCAATGTAGGCAGTATCTTTACCTGCTATGCCACAGCGCCGACCCCACATGAGATGGAGAACACCTGTAATGAGATGTAGTAGTGATAGTGGACAGGGAGGGTATTATAGTGATATTTGGGAGGTTGAATCTATAAGACTTGGTGACTTCTATCATTTTGGATCGAGATTACTAGAAGAGTCTGTAATTTAGTCAAAAGGTTGGGAACATATGATTTAAATTGTAGAAACTATTTTTATAATAAGTGAAGTGTTGTCTTTTAAGGGAGACAGATTGTATAAGTAATAATGATAATAGTGATAGCAACTTCTACAATCATATTGAGATATAGGTTAGTGTGGCATTATTCCCTTTAGCAATGGATCCTTGACTATGTGAATCTCTTTCATTTCCCTTCCTTACTATTTTTTAAAAAGATTTTATTTATTTATTTGAGAGGTAGAGTTATAGACAGAGAGAGGGTGAGACAGAGAGAAAGGTCTTCCATCGGCTGGTTCACTCCCCAAATGGCCACAGTGGCCAGAGTTGGGCTGATCCAAAGCCAGGAGTTTCTTCTGGGTCTCTCACATGTGTGCAGTGGCCTAAGCACTTTTACAAGCCACAGGCAGATAGCTGGATTGGAAGAGGAGCAGCTGAGACTGGAACTGGTGCCCTTATGGGATGCTGGCGCTGCTGGCAGACTAGCCTACTATGCCCCAGTGCCAGCACCACCTTTTCTAAATCTAAATGTAAACACCTTAGTCTGGTTTCCCTATAATAAAGAGGCTGCAGCAAAACTGATTCACTAATTCTACTTTGGGAAATGTGATCCAGGACATCAAGATTGAGGGGAAAGAGGGAAAAGATGCAAGGAAGAAGAGAAAGCAAATAAGAGCTAATCTCATCAAACAGACCACGGATTCATACGCAGACACGTGTAAGGCTCCTTCAAGATGCCCAGGTTCTAATCATGGGCCTCTTTGGAGGTGGAGGAGGGAGGGAGATGGGTTTTCTTTCAGCATCTTCAGATCTTTCCCTACATTGGTAAAAATTCAATTTGGGTCTAAATTCTCCCTGCACTTCTGGGTTGTGCTATCTGCCTGCTTTGGGCAGCCTTTGGGGAAGTCATGTGGCATCTGGCATGGTTTCATCTGAACCTAGAAATTGTGAGAGAAGCCGCTGGGGCTCCTTCCTTGGTAGCCCTGAGGAAGGCTCCTTGCTAATGCTCTCCTGGATGAGGCAGGCAGTGGTGTTAGGAGAGGAGGAGATATGCTGGTATCATAGCTGGGTTCTTCTTGAACAGGCATCTGAGAACCAGATGACGCTGCAAAAGTGCATACACTGACTGATAGTGTAACTGTAGGATAGCTAACTGATATGGTTTTCATGAAGTAAAACAACTTTTGGTTTCTCTATAGCATGAAAAGTGAAAATTATATACTAACCATTAGACTTGCAAGGACTTGAATGGCATTAGGAACAGTGAATGGGCTGTGCTTGATCTATATGGGTTTTATCATCAAAACTAAAAGTGCCCTTTACTGGAGGTTTTGCAAGCCTTTGCCATAAATTTTCTGAGATTGTGACTGTTTATTGGGCATTTAGTTTGTCATGGTGTTAGATTGACCAGGCAGTTGCTCATGTTGGAATTTGTAGGTTATGATTTGATAAATTAGATGACTGAAGCTACATAGGGAGTAAGTTTGTGTTTGGCTTTTCTTTGATAATTCACTGGAAAACTGTGAATAATAATATTGCATATAAAAAAGACAAGGATGGATAAAAGTAGAAGGGAATAAATTTTCTCTGTAAGTAGCAAACAGCCATGAATCTCTTATTAAATTTTACAGGCAGGGTGCCTGTAACTCTGAGTGTGAATTCTTACTGTAAGGAAAATTTATACCAGATACGGATGTGTTCCAAGGCAACCAAACAGAGCTGAAATGTTTTTACATCGTGACCATGTTTTTGGAGTGGGGTCTAGGGAGCAGGGTCAAGAGTAAAATGTGAAGCCCTTATTGAAATTTTTAATCATGTATTGGTTGTAAGCAATGGAGCTAAATTTGGCTAATTTGAGAGAGAAATTATTTGTTGAAAGGACACTGAGATAGAGAACTAGTCTTGGGACTCCATGGATGGGAACAGCCCAAATCATGCTGTAGACCTAGCTCAGTGGGGACATTGCTGTCACTGCTGCTAGGAACTACAGCTTGCATTGTTGACATCACTAACAATGGACTCTAGAAGCTGCCATCAACTCTGCTGTCCCTAATACCTAAAAATTTGATTTTTTTCGACATCCAACTCCATTATTATAGATAATTTATTCCTTCTGTGCCTCACGAGACAAAGGGAATGCAACTGCCTTGGCCAGCAGGGTCTGTCATGGGATTTGGTGGGTGCAGGGAAATTAGGGTCATCCAAATCTGTCGACTCCCCCTCCCCCATTCCATAGCCCAGGTTTGTTCTGTCCTGATCAGTGCTTTTACTTTCACATAAGTGATCTCAGTGGGCTGTGACTTCAACTGACATTATAACTTAGAAACCTGCAGGATCAAAGTTTGAGTTTGATTTTCAGTTATCTCAGCCCTGCGGCTGAAAGCGATAAGAGATTCTTTTAGCAGCCAGAGAAACATGGGATTTCACTTCATGCCTCTAGCCAAGAATTTGTGATTTCAGCTTGTCATTCTTTTCCTCTAAGCAGTGTAGCACTGTTAGAACCATCCTCCATGTGCCACAGTTCTTGAATTCCTCACACCTTTTATATGCTTCTGTGGCAGTAGGCTAGGTTCTTGTTAGCTTTGCTTTCAGTAAGGACTTCTGGAAGGTGATAATTTGTGCTGTAGACTTGCAGATTCTCATCCCCTAATGCTGGCTGGATTTTCATTGTTTTATTATTTAAAACTCTAATTCCATTTTTTGAAAGCACCATTGCCTGCAGGTGAAACTGGTACCAATTTACATTTTAGTCAACGTTATTAAAGTCATTCTGGAATGTAAGCAGAAAATGAATTTAATTCATTAACTGCACAGAATCTCCAGAGCTACAGAATTAGGAACAATGCCCCAAATTGTGTCCTATAGGACACCACCACTGCTGCTGCTGAACTTGGTGCTGTACTTTGTCACGTCAGCAGCAGTAGTAGACCTTGGATTGGGTTTGCTGACACTGCTGCCACCCCAGGAATGTTATCATGCTCCAACTCCTGTTGCTGCTAGATTACATCACTCATATTCTCTTTTTCTGTGCCATTGGTTCACAATTCAAGATTTAAACTGCATGCAGCTGATTAGTTGAACCCAGATCAGTACTGCAGTTGCCGGGGCTACTAAGGAGGTGGGTATTTGGCATTTTCTTTTTTCTAATATGTGTTATGCTTTGCCACCTATCATATATCTTCCTTCATAAGGCAGAGAATCTCTAAAATATGAGGCAGATTGGCTCACTGAACATCTGTCCAACCATCTTCTAAATTAGTCTTCATCTAGGAAGTAATGAATTACTTTCCCAGGCTCCATTGCTGCTGCTGAGCTGTTCATGGTGGGGATTTGGAGCCAAGTTATCTGAGGTGGTGGCTTCATGTGGGGACACCGGATCTTCAATATGAATGATAAGAAAGGTGGTTGTCCAGCGTGACGTGGAAGGACTTCTGGCTTTCAGAATCTGGAATACTAACTTGTGAGTAGGGTTGTCAGTGGCGTTCCTTAGAACATTCCCACAATGTACTGTCTCTTTTTTTCTTATGGTGTGGTTCTTGGCTCATTAATCCTGTCTATTTTCCCTCAAGCCTTGTTCTTTGCCCCTCCCTGGGATTCTATGAACTAGGTAATTTCCTTCTATAAATCCCCTTCTGCTAAAACTAGCTCAATTCTGTTCTATTGCTTGCAAGTGAAAGCCCTGCCTGATAAATGGTTTCAGGTGGTAGATGGCTCAGAAAATGACAAATACTCTCTCTGCTAAAATGTTCATGTAAAGATTGAAAGTGTTGATCTTTATTCAGTACTTGAATTTGTAAGAAAAAAGTGGTTAACATACCTGTGGATGTGTACAGCTGGTGATTGTGACAACAGAATATTCTACTATACAAGTAAATTTGTGAGTCTCAACTCCAAATGCTATTTCCTCTGGGGATGTGAATACACATTGGACCCATTGTATATGTTACAGCATTGCAATTGATAACTAGCATTTGTTTCAGGCTTACCAGAAATTGTTTTTATTTTTTATTTATTTATTCATTTATTTATTTTTCGACAGGCAGAGTGGACAGTGAGAGAGAGAGAGAAAGGGAGACAGAGAGAAAGGTCTTCCTTTTCTGTTGGTTCACCCTCCAATGGCCGCCGCGGCTGGTGTGCTGTGGCTGGCGCACCACGCTGATCCGAAGCCAGGAGCCAGGTGCTTCTCCTGGTCTCCCATGCGGGTGCAGGACCCAAGTACTTGGGCCATCCTCCACTGCACTCCCGGGCCACAGCAGAGAGCTAGACTGGAAGATGGGCAACTGGGACATAATCCAGCGCCCTGACTGGGACTAGAACCCGGTGTGCTGGCGCCACAGGTGGAGGATTAGCCTATTGAGCCGCGGCGCCAGCCACCAGAAATTGTTATATGGATTATTTTATCTTCAGAATAAACCTTGTAAAGTATTTAATATTGGCATTTCTGTCTTGTGAATGTAAGAATTAAGGTTTAGATCAGTTAAAATGCTTTCCCATGGTCACTCAGGTAGGTAGGCAGAGTGAGATTTGGACCTATATCTATCTGACTCTAGGTTTCTCTTTATGACAGTAAGCAACACACACTAGCTATTATCACTGAATATAGGTTTAATTGCTCTGCTCAGAATTAATAGCATTTGATGATGAAGTCAAGATGGAGAAGACATATTTAACAAAGAAAGCGAGAGAAACAGCATGAGTCTCCACAGGGAAGTCGTAGACTAGAAGCTAATGAGTCTCCTAGGTGGATCTCTTCTCTGTAGCATTAGGAAAATCTTTCTGGGATGGGTGATGAGTAAGTTATGCTCCTTATGTTTGAGAGACTTGCTCCTCGAGTGTGGTCCAGCGACCAGCAGCACTGGCATCATCTGGGAATTTGTTAGAAATGGTTTTATTTATGAAGCAGGAATAGCAAATGAAGGAGACTGAGTTTTCTGGATGGAACTTTTACATGTTATTGTATAATAGAGGCTTTTGTGTGTGTGTTTTAATGGAAATATTTATGTCTATAAAAGTGCAACGTAGACTAGATGTGCAATTCAATGTTTTCTGATATATTAGCCTTCTTTTTTATTTGTACTATAATATATCAAATATATTCCTATATAAGTGAAAGATCTCATTGTTTCTTTAATATTTACTAATGCCTCTATTCTTTCTAGCTTTGATATTCCTAGTAGCATCACACTCTTTACGTACTGAACAGAGAATTCACATCATGGTGGTCTGGTCACCAACAATATTTTGCTTTCTCTGTTTCATATTTGTCATAAGTCTGTGTGTGGACTTTCCTTCCACCGTCCACTGAAGCTCTCATTTCAGGAGGCACCTATCTTTTTTTTTCACTTTTATTTAATGAATATAAATTTCCAAAGTACAGAATATTGATTACAATGGCTTCCCCCCCATAACGTCCCTTGAACCCGCAACCCTCCCCTTATCCACTCCCTCTCCCCTTCCATTCACATCATGATTCATTTTCAATTCTCTTTATATACAGAAGATCAGTTCAGCATACATTAAGTAAAGATTTCAACAGTTTGCTCCCACACAGAAACATAAAGTGAAAAATACTGTTTGAGTACTAGTTATAGCATTAGATCTCAACGTACAGCACACTAAGGACAAAGATCCTACCTGAGGAGTAAGTGCACAGTGACTCCTGTTGTTGACTTAACAAATTGACACCCTTGTTTATGGCATCAGTAATCACCCTAGGCTCTTGCCATGAGCTGCCAAGGCTATGGAAGCCCCCTGAGTTCACTGACTCTGATCATTTTTAGACAAGGCCATGGTCAAAGTGGAAGTTCTCTCCTCCTTTCAGACCCTTCAGAGAAAGGTACCTCCTTCTTTGATGACCCATTCTTTCCACTGGGATCTCACTCATGGAGATCTTTCATTTAGGTTTTTTTTTTTCCCCAAGAGTGTCTTGGCTTTCCATGCCTGAAATACTCTCATGGGCATTTCAGCTGGATCCGCATGCCTTAAGGGCTGATTATGAGGCCAGAGTGCTGTTAGGACATTTGCCATTCTATGGGTCTGCTGTGTATCTCACTTCCCATGTTGGATCATTCTCTCCCTTTTTTATTCTATCAGCTAGTATTTTCAGACACTAGTCTTGTTTATGTGATCCCTTTGGTTCTTAGTCCTTTCATTACAATCAATTGTGAACAGCAATTGATCACTGGGACTAGTGAGATGGCATTGGGACATGTCACCTCGATGGGATTGAATTGGAATCCCCTGGTATGTTTCTAACTCTGCTGTTTGAGGTAAGTCAGCTTGAGCATGTCCCGAATTGCACATCTCTTCCCTCTCTTATTCCCACTCTTATATTTAACAGCGATCACTTTTCAGTAAAGTTTAAGCACTTAAGAAGAATTGTGTATTGATTACAGCATTCAACCAAAAGTATTAAGTAGAACAAACAAACAAAAATACCAAGAGGGATAACATATTAAGCTGCTCATCAACAGTCAGGGTGAGGGCTGATCAAGTCACCGTTTCTCATAGTGTTCATTTCACTTTAACAGGTTTCCTTTTTGGTGCTCAGTTAGTTGTCACCTATCAAGGAGAACAAGTGGTATTTGTCCCTTTGGGATTGGCTTATTTCACTCAACATAATGTTTTCCAAATTCCTAACAGGGATCACTTTTCAGTTAAAATTTAAACACCTAAGAATAATTGTGTATTAATTACAGAGTTCAACCAATGATACTAGAACAAAAAAAATACTAAAATGGATAAAGTATTACATTGTACATCAACCATCAGGACAAGAGCTTGAACTTTGTAATTAAGGAGGCACCTATCTATCAGTGCAGTCAGGAGAAAAGCACAGAAGCTCCTGCTGGAACCAAAATATTTTTCTACAGTACAGGTGGCTCTCATAGCCTTTACCAGATGTCTTTCCAGCGCCCTTAAGTCTTGGCATACAAGCTCTTGGGAAATCCAGTATCATCCATGACCAAGTACTGGTTGAATGGAAAATTTCCCGTTATGTGCCCAGAAAGAATGTTTAATGAAGACAAACAGTATCTATGAATGGTTTGTTGTCCCAATTGTTCTTAGGACCACAACTTACAGATAAATAATCTTCAGGCACTAAGATTGCGAAGAAAGCATTTAAAATGACACAAATCCTTAGTATTTTATTAGGACACTGTCCTCATTTTTATGGTATCATTTATTTTACTGTTAAATTATTAGGAATTATTCACCAAGATTCATTTTTCAAAAATATTTATTGTGATCTTTTTTCCCAAATCAATGGAGATATAATGTAAAATCCTTTCCTTATAAGGAAATATGACTGGGAAGGTTTCTCATGCTCATGTTTTCAAAACAAACGAAAAAACCCAGATGATAGCTATAAAGTTGATGTTGAGCTTAATTGAGCCATATCACACTGACCCTTCTAGGTTAAGACTTCTCCCTTCTCCTCGGTCCCATTACTCAACCTGCCCCTCCTTAACATCCATCCTATGGTCAACCATGCTGACCTAGATTTCCCTAACAGTCCGTGTGGTTGTAGAGCTTGTCTCCTCACCTTCTTTTTCATAAAATGCCAGTCTCCCTCATGTCCATATATATTTTTTAATAAAAGATTTGTTTACGTATTTGAAAGTTGGAGTTAGAGAGAGAGAGAGAGAGAGAGAGAGAGAGAGATTTTTTTCATTCACTAGCACTAGTTCACTCCCAAGATGGCCACAATAGTCAGGGCTAGGCCAGGCAAAAGCCAGGAACCAAGAGCTCTCAGGTCTCCCAAATGCATGGCAGGGGCCCAATCACTTGCGTTATCTTCCTCTGCTTTTCCCAGGCCATCACCAGGGAGCTGGATTGGAAGTGGAGCAACTGGGACTTGAACTGGTGCCCGTGAGGGATGCTGGCATTGCAGGTGGAAGCTTTACTTGTAATGCTACAATGCTGGACCCTGGGTTTATATTTTGAATACCTTCTCACATTTCGCTTCTGAATAGAGCCTTTCCTGATTTCCTTATGGAGCACTGAGTACCCTCTCCTTGGGGCCTACCCTCTACCTCAAATCCCCTTAAAACAATCTTCACATAGATGTTGAATTAATAGTGGCAATAAAAAGAACCAAGACTATTTATTAACTCTTAAGCCAGTGATACAGGACCAGAATATCACAGGAAAGAAAATGTTTGTCTTTTGTATATGTTTATTTCCTATTCATCTATTAAGCTCAGTGGGTTCAGAGTCCATGGCTTCCTCATCTTGGAATAGCCACTGCTCTCTTCAGTGCTAATTTTGATCATCTGCTCCATGATTCAGTGTTTAGAGGTTAAATCATCAAATAATGAGTTTATTAAAAAACATCACTTCATTGGATTGGAACTCTCATCATGACCTTAGATAACCAGATTATATTGCCTTTACTGAATATCTGAGAAAATTTGTTTTATTTAAAGGCTTTATATATATTTTCTTCAAATGTCTGGATCAGGAGCATAGACACATTTGTTCCCGAATGTTTATCCTATTCTTCACTGGTGATCAATTTAGAATGTGCCTGCTCAGGCAAGAATAAACAGAGCAAATGATCTCTTTTTCCCATATGAACTCTTGAATTTCACTTTTCCCTAGAATGTACACTGCTTCATGCCAATAGAGGATTTTTTATACTGTCATTTAAAAAATGGATTTTCTTTTATCAAACCAATAACCTTTATATATGCATTGTTTTCTCTTACGTGCAGCTTTGAGATCAGCCTTTGTGGTGAGCTTGTCAGTGAAGGGGAGATGTAATTTGTCACAGCTTAGAGACAGAGACTGAGTAGCAGTCCTTCCATCTTTTACCAAATAAGAAAAATCGCTTTCTCTGCCCAAACAAGATGAATGTACTGGGGAAACTTACTCTTTCCTGTGATTTTCTGGCCCTGCATCACTGGTTTAAGAGTGAGGCATCTTCTTGGTTCTTTGCTTTTCATTGTTTCACAGCTCTTGGTCACTGTTTACTCAATATGCATGTAAACTTTTTCTATGGGCATTCTGGAAACTATAAAGGCATCCAGGTTTGTCTGTGGTGTTGTTATTCTCCATTTTCTGTGTTGCTTTCCTTCCTTCTGACCTCTACTTAGTGTCCTCACACCCTGACTACTCAGTCCTCCCCAGTCCTGCCTTCCCTGTTTGGCAAAGAACTCAATGACAAAATGATTCTCCTTTCTCCTCCAACTAAAAAGCTTAAGAGAAATATCTATCTGAATGAGTGCCTTTCTCCAAAGAGCTACTGTTCATTAATGGGCCAATGTCTTATTCTAGGATGAAAATTAACATCGTGAAACAGGTAAGAACTTCATGTGGCACATCCATTAAGGATGTGATTCTGTGGTGGTGGTATTTCAGACATCTTGAAGGATTTTCAGTTTTGAAGCTATAATTTCTGTTCCTCGTCTTCCATGCAAGAATCTAAATGCTGTAATGGTAATTGTATTCTAGTTCCTATATTATCATAGAGATTAAGATAAATTCATTTTATTTTTATTTTTAAAGATCTATTTATTTATTTGAAAGTCAGAGTTACACACACACACACAGAAAGAGAGGGAGGGAGGGAGGGAGAGAGAGAGAGAGAGAGAGAGATTGAGAGATCTTCCATCTACTGGTTTACTTCCCAAATGGCCACAACGGTTGGTGTTGGGTGAGTCTGAAGCCAGGAGCCAGGTGCTTCCTCCAGGTCTCCCACGTGGGTGCAGAGGCTCAAGTATTTGAGCTATCTTTCATTGCTTTCCCAGGCAAAATAGCGGGGAGCTGGATAGAAAGTGGAGTAGCCAGGCCTCGAACTGGTGCACAAATGGGATATTGGCATTTCAGGCAGTAGCTTAACTCACTGTTCCACAATGCCAGCCTCAACTTATTTTATTTTTAAAAACATTTCTGACAGAATGTAAAGAACAATAGCAATAAGATTATTAACCTCTCAGTAGTTCATGGAAGCCATCATTATACATTCTAAATTATGGCGAAATCTCTGGACAGAGTATTTAAAAGTGATGCACTCAGATTCACAGAATAGTTTGCCTCAGATTACTCTCCAGAGCAGATCACCAGAGTAGACAGAATATAATTCACCATCAAAGCATTTCTGATATTATAGATATGATGATGATAAATGTAGAAGAAAATTGAGGAAAATTGATGAAGTAAAAGGATAATTTTAACTATAAAAACAGACAGCAGATGTCACTGTTGCTTTTTCATTATCCTTAACCTCACTTTTACTGGGGTTTGTTTCTAGTTAATGACATTTTTCATTTTATTTAAGAAGTCTAATAGGTTAAACAAATCCACATAGTTTAAAACCTCTGTTTTTGGTTTTATAATTATTAAGGCTATGACTGTAAACCATGCATGAATAATTATAAAGAAGATAGCTTGTATGTTTTATGTGCTGAGGTCCATTAATTTAACATAAGTTGTAAGGTAATTTTTATAATAGCCACTGTAAGATTCAGAATGAATTCTTATTAAAATGAGGTGTCAGTCACCTTGAAGATCAGTTTGTCCTGATCTTCTTTTCTTCTCTTAAATAACCAATCATATCATTTGTATTTGTAAATAGAGCACATGGAGCCAAAATTTCTCTAAGATGATGATTTCAGTTTTTATCATATTAACAGTTTCATATAATCAGTATTTGGGAAGCATCTCCAGATCAACTTTCAAACTCCTGATTTTCTTCCTCATTGCATTCTTTCTCTCCAATCAATTCAACTCTAGTTCTCCACTACAATGTTTCACTTCTTTAGGCAACTATGGAGGATGCACAAATTTCAGTTTCTCATCTCTCCATCTAATCAGTTACCAGATCATGTCGATTCTACTCTCTGTGTATTTTAAAAATCAGCCTCTGTTTTTTCACTACAAATCTTAAACTTTATAGTACACAACTGAAGTATTTTGGTACATACATGCATTTCTTTCTTTTTCTGTTTTTAAAGAGACAGAGAGAGGGCCAGCGCTGTGTGGCAGAGGGTTAACGCTCTGGTCTGAAGTACTGGCATCCCATATGGACACCGGTTTGAGACCCAGCTGCTCCACTTGCAATCCTGCGCTCTGCTATGGCCTGGGAAAGCAGTAAAAGATGGCCCAAGTCCTTGGGCCCCTGCACCCGTGTGGGAGACCTGGAAGAAGCTCCTGCCTCCTGGCTTCAGATCGGTGCAGTTCCGGCTGTTGTGGCCATCTAGGTATTGAACCAGTGGATGGAAGACCTCTCTCCTCTCTCTCTCTCTCTCTCTCTCTCTCTGCCTCTTCTCTCTCTGTGTAACTCTGACTTTAAAATAAATAAATATATATTTTTTTAAAAAAGAGAGAATCAGAGAGAGAGAGAGAGAGAGAGAGAGAGAGAGAGAGAGATTCTCTATCCATGGGTTCACTCCCAGATGGCAACAGTCAGGGCTGAGCTGGGAGCTGAAGCTAGAAGCTGAGAGCTTCATCTGTGTCTCCCACATGGATGGAGTGGCCTAAGCCCTTGGGCCATCATCTGCTGCTTTTCTCAGGTCATTAACAGGGAGCTGTATCAGAAGTAGAGCAGCTGGTATGCAAACTGGCACCCATATGGGATGCTGGCATAGCAGGTGACAGCTTTACCTGCAGCATCACAATGCTGGCCCCACACATATACATTTCTACAAGAACTTGGATGATTTTTCAGTTTCATTGGGTTTCTGTTATTTCATGAAAAGGAAATGATGCAAACTTGGTTATCATGGGAAAAATGCAGTGAGAACTAGTAATAGTACAATTAGAGCTTGAAATGTTTCTTTCTCATAAAATCTAATCTTTCCCTTTTATTCAGAGGACTGCTGCTTTTCCACTGTGTCTCTGGATATGCTGAGCCTGTCTTATCTTTTATTCTATAAAATAATAAACATGAATAAAATGTTCCTAATATGTGCTTTCCATATATTTACAAGGAAGCACTCAAAGAGTATTCAGATTTCCTTATTTTGTTTATAAAATTTCATTATATATTCCATGCTTTTATAAAAATGTGTCACAGGTCACTATTTTCTAGAAATATTATTTTGTTTTTTAAAATTAAATTGTTGATGGGGGTATTGATAATAGGGTTCAGGGAGAGAAAAGACGTGTGCCTTCCGAACACTTTTTTGAATTCTGTAAGTATTAGTAAGGCACTATGTGGTGCTGTATTCAAATGAACTTTAAGGAACATATTCAGGCTTTCTAGAATAAATTATTTTCTTCACTGATAAACTGGATTGTGGTGTTCTACATTTGGCTCATGTGTTGCTTAACTCAGCAAGTTTCTGAAGAGGAGTTTAGAAACAAGAGACTTAATTCACTTGTAGGAACTTTGGTGCTCAGAGGCATTATTTCTGTGGTCACACCAAAGATATATATATCTTTGTATATATATATGTATATATATATCTTTGTGTATATATATGTATATATACACACACACTACATCTTCAGTATAGAGATTGCTTTGAGACTTGACTTTATCACTTTTTAAAAGAAGATTTATTTATTTATATGAGAGGCAGAGTTATAGACACCAAGAAGCAGAGACAGAAACAGAGGTCTTCCATCCACTGGTTCACTCCCCAAATGGCTGCAACGGGCTGAAGCTGGGCCTATCTGAAGTCAGGAGCTGCAAGGTCCTTCCAGTTCTCCCATGTCAGTGCAATGGCTCAAGCACTTGATTATCTTGTACTGGTTTTCCTGGACATTAACAGGGAGCTAGATCAGAAGTGAAGAGCAGTCGAGACTTGAACTGGTGACCAGATGAGATTGCTGGTGCCACAGGCAGAGGCTTAACCCATTACACCACAGTGATGGTACCCCAACTTTGTCACTTTTAATCTCTGTTACCTTTGTTAAGAAATGTAGATTCTCATAAATACAATTTCTTTGTAAATAGATAATAATGCTATCAATATTTTACAGGACTGTTGCGAAAATTAGATGATTTGTTTTATTTTCGCTAATATATGTGTAAGGTATACCATGCATTATTCATATATATATATATATAATCATTGTCACAAATAGCAAATGTTTCCTAAACCTGTTGAACACAAGGCATTCTGTTGGTTTTGGGATTATAAAAGTACATAGTGTTCGTAGTCTTATACCCAGAAACATCACTGAAGTATATACTTACTAACAGTAACTCTGCACCTGAAATATTTAAAAATTACTTTAAAATTTGTATTAGAGTTGAATTTCAAAGGTTTCTTCACTTCCTCTTATAGTAACTCTTTGATAATCCTAACCCTTTTAACATCTAGACTAATCAAGTGGAACCACCATTTTAAGGTTTCACTTACTTTCCGTCTTTAGACTTAGACATTCAAACAACAGAGGAGAAGATGGGGTTTTGTTATTAACATGCTCTCCATTGATCTTTTGGTTGGGATGTGAATTAGTCCTGGTGAGTGGAAATAGGGCTACTCTTCATGCAACACCAGGTTAGAAAGTGAACTGTACCAAGAGTACAGTACACTTGGTAGCTCTTGGAATAACTTTCTGACAGGTTTTAGTTGCAATAAAAAATAGACTTATGACATGGAAATCAATAGTCATGTTTAGAACAGGGGTCCCAGTTGTTAGACCTTCCAGCTAGAGTGGGAAAGCTGATCATTTGTCCTGTGGTCAAATGCCCTTGTCTGTTCTTTGGGCCCCTGCCTCAACCAATACTACATAGAACTGCAGATAACTTACCTTTGTTCACTATCATTGCTTGCCAGTTCCTTCACAATTTTAGGTAATAATCTATCTGCTCTCAGGCAGCAGAAGTAAAATGATAATATATGTCCACATATGCATACATTGTTGCCTGTAATATGTTATCTCTAGTAAGAATAGCTTTCCAAACCACAATCCATATTGCTAATTTTTTAAATAATAGTCCTAAACTGGAAGTGACATAATTATCAAATATTGTATGGTTGTGAGGTGAGGGGTAGGGAATTGAATAAGTGTATAAGTGTTCCACTGAGTCATCTAAGGGGGCTAGACTTTGCTATCACCACTCTCCCAACTTCCTGACCCTGTTGATGCAGCTTAGTGAAACACCTGTGACCATGATGGCAATGATGTAGTGTCTCAAAGGCCACAGCTATTGTCCCTTCCCTCCCCTTCCCTCCCCTCCATCCCCTCCTCTCCCTTCTCCTCTCTTCCCCTCTCCCTCTCCCCCCCCTCCATTTCTCTCCCTTCCCCTTCCCGTCTTCCTTTTTTGTGTTCTCTCTCTCTCTCTTTTTTTTTTTTTTAAAGATTTTTATTTATTTATTTGACAGGTAGAGTATAGACAGTGAGAGAGAGACAGAGAGAGAAAGGTCTTCCTTCTGCTGGTTCACTCCCCAAATGGCCGCAACGGCTGGAGCTGCGGTGATCTGAAGCCAGGAGCCAGGTGCCTCCTCCTGGTCTCCCATGTGGGTGCAGAGGCCCAGGTACTTGGGCCGTCTTCTACCGCTATCCCAGGCCACAGCAGAGAGCTGGACTGGAAGAGGAGCAACTGGGACTAGAACCCAGCGCCCATATGGGATGTAGGTACCGCAGGCAGAGGATTAACCTAGTACGGCATGGCACCGGCCCCTGTGTTCTCTTTTCTTAGAATTAGTGGAATTCAACCAATATAAAGAGCAGATAGTACATTGAGGTTTTTAAAATGTAAGCAAATATTTTGGGCTTATATGATAGATAAAGAAAACAATTGTGTGGCAAGGAATCAGAGTCTCCTTTGATTAATTAGCAAAGCATTGGTGTTTTAAAAAGAATTTTTAAGAAAATATTTAATTATTAAATCCACCAAATCCTGGAGTTATATTTGATAATCCTTCAGGTTTCTCCCAAGCATGATGTTTTAGAGCACCTCACACACTGTAAATTTCTTTCGGTACATTCTGTGATCACTGCTTCTTCTTGCCTTCAGTCATAAGCACTTATGGTTGGACTTTTGTGGTCTTTTTTGGTATTGATAGTGTTAACTGAATTTTTGTCTTCTGGCACTTGGATCACATGGTGTTCTTCTTTTGTTAAATATGTGCCTCAAGAGAGCTTTCCTAAAATAAAATTCAGTCGCCCTTTTGTTTTCAGCATGATTGCATCTAATTATATAATTAGGATAAATATATGCAATCAGAAGCAAGTAATAAATATTAGGTTCTACCTTTTTAAGTTTTGCTTTTGATAGAAATGCCTCAGGGACAGAGCTTTCTTATTTATGCCTGCTAATACCTTGTACTGTGTTGTGCACGTACCAGGAACTCAGCAGTTATTTGCTGAATTAATGAAGTATTTTTAAGATGCTGTGCAAGCCTCATCTAAAAATGTGCAAATTCTCTCAGAGACTAGAAATATTTTTCAAAGTTATTTAAAGCCATATTATTTTCTGGACCATGTATCAGTTTGAAATAAATTGATTTATCAAGCTGCGTGTTTGGCACAGTGATGGCTGTGAGCACATCCTTTGTCCAAGGAAGAACAATGATTTTTATAGGTCGTAAGTTAGGTCAGCGAGTCATCGTAGATTTACTGTGTTTCTGTTGCTGTTCCCTCAGATTTGATCTGGCTTTTCTCTTGTACATTCTGAGCTTATTTAGGAGTGTGTCAGAACAAGCTGTCTCTCCAGACTGAATTGTTAGCCTTTAGGGCAGGGACCACGTTGTTATGTAGTGTTCAGAGCAGGACACAGGGGAGAGCTACCCAGATAACAAAGGACAGGGCTGAGCTCAAGTGGGTGACCTGGTTCCTTGGCCTGGACACCACAGGCTAGAGAGCACATGCCATTTTCCTCAGAGTTTTCTTTCTTGACAACCCCTCTGAAGCTATTCTTCACTTGTTAGGAAGGCTGATTTTATTTTGCCTTTTAAAACACATGCCTATATCATAACTTGCCCACTGTCATTTTTTCATAAATTCCAGTGTAAGAACTTAAACCATATCTTTTCTTATTTGTGTTTTTATACTCAATACCCAGCATACACAAGCATATGATAAGTGGTGGTTGAGTCAAATTGCTTTGATACTTTGGCAGCAGGTTGTTGAGAACAGAATAAAACCCAGACTCATCCCACATTTCCTGTATCCCCCCCACCTTTTTTTTTCTTTGAAGATTTATTTATTTGAAAGAGTTACAGAGAGGCAGAGGCAGAGAGAGAATCTTCCATCCGCTGGTTCACTCCCCAAATGACTGCAATGGCCAGAGCTGGGCTCATCTGAAGCCAGAAGCCAGAACTTCTTCCAGGTCTCCCACACGGGTGCAGAGGCCCAAGAACTTGGGCCATCTTCTACTGCTTTCCCAGAGATCTGCTTGGGAAGTGGAGCAGCTGGGACTCCAGCTGGTGTCCATATGGAATGCCGGCACTGCTGGTGGCAGCTTTACTCACTATATACCACAGTGCTGTCCTCTCCTGTCTCCTTTTAAAAAAAATAGTGTATTCCAGTGGCACTTTGATTCTCACCCAGCATATAGCTTTGTTAAGGGTTGCCATAGATCTTAAGGCCACGGGATTAATGAAAACAACATGTGGGAAGCAACTTGGACTAGACTAAGTTACTGGAATTAAGACTTATTCTATGCATCTGCTCTCCCACAATATGGCGCTGAGAAGGGAGTAACAACTTCTACGCAGCTGCCTCTCGCCAATTTGATTGACTGAGCTGCAGGAGCTGATCTTGATTGGAGGAGAGCAGCGCGCTCAGCGTGTGGGTAGCAGAGCACGGATTGGTGGAAGAGGACTATAAAGGAGGAGAGAGACAACATGCACCAGGAACATCTAAGGGGAACATCTATCTGAAGGAACATCTGTGCAGCCCCCGAGAGAGCCGGCCGGCCGGCGGTGTGCCGCTCCCCCGCGGAAGTGGGGAAAGTGGCCAGGGGGAACCGCCCTTCCACGGAGGTGGAAGGGACGGTAGCCAACCCGGGAAGAACCAGCAGCAAACCCGGGGAGGGCCGAGCAGACAAAAGAACAGCGCAGGGTCCTGTGTCGTTCCTCCACGAAGAGGGGGAGCGACATAATGGTGCTGTGACTCGGATATGAAGCCTAGGCAGGGTTTAGTGTCGTTCCTCCACGAAGAGGGGGAGCGACACAACAGACTTGGAAAATGCAGTTTGTAATTAAGATTGGCATTGTCTTGGGTTTATAGCGTTCACACTCTGGGGATGCTTGGTTCTCCTTTGTTTGGAGAGGTTTGTGCTTTATAAGGGGTCCAGAGGAACTAGGAAGCTGGGAATGGGAAGATTTATAATTCTTATTAAAAATAGACTTTTCTAATGAAGGTGTAATTGAAACCTTATAAAACATCTATTTTTGTGCTTTTGCTGAACTTGTTTAAACTATTATTGCTCTGTGCCCGTATGGCAGGATAAGAAACTATTCTGACAGTAAAACATCCATTTGAGAAAGATGGTAAATTTATTGGGAACATTTCAGGGTTGAAGCATATTTGTAATTGTGAGATATGGCCTCAATGGTTAATCATCATGAAAAACTGTAAAGAAGTGACTCTAATATAGTAGATTAATGGCACTTGATTTTACTGCCCAAACCTGAAATCATCATCTACCAAAAACAGGTTTGCAGTCATTGTAGTGATTCATCCCTGGCTAGGTTAGATCCCCAGAACTGTGGCTTTTCTTTTTCTCTGGTTTCCCTAGGATTGTTGTTTTCAAGTGTAGTGAGATGATTCAAATCATTGCAGATTTGACATTTGAACAGAAGTTAACACAGACCTGTGGTTAATCTGTTTGGCCTCTTTTTAGACCAGTATGAAATGGAGAAAAGAAAGTATTATTTTTTGAGCATTTCCTATGTTTCAGGAATGTTAGCCAAATGTAGGTGTTATTCTCATTGATCGATGAGAAATGTGAAACCTTGAGTAATTAAATGTTTTGCTCAAGGCTGTACCATTTATAAGAAGTCAGCTAGGATCCAAACTAGACTGAATGACTTCAAGGTGCATATGCTTCTGCATCCTCCAAAGATTTTCCCTGCATTTTGGATTCTTTATAAATATTTTGAATAAAATTGTTTAACAATCTGACATGTTTACTACTTGATAAAGGCCTGGGGCCGAACACTATTTTTTCCCAAAATAATTCTAGCAGTTGGTACTTAAAATGTGAAATCTCAATTGAAATACTGTAATTTTCTCTTCTATCATTACTTTCTGAGAAAAAATTAAAAATAGCAGATTCCAAACAGCAATATCTTTTTTTCTTGAAAGGCAGGAGAAAATAAACAGAGGGGAACACAAATAGATAGGCTAAGGTCTCTATCCTTTAGGAGTTTGCCGCTAAGTGGCAATGATAGTAGATGTCGCAGTAATATTTGTAATATGGGATAGAATGTTTTAATGCTTTCAGAAAGGATTAAAGCAGAGTTGTAAAAGCTCAAGGAGTGATGGTTTCTAATTAACAAGGATTAGAAAGCATTTGTCAAAGAAGGAACATCTGATCTGGAATTTAGAGAGGTGAGTACATTTTAACAGATGCCAAGAACAGGAACTTCAGGCAGAGGGAGGAGTTTGAGGATAGTTATGGAGGGAGAAATGTCAAAGGCAGGATAATTAGTTTAATCTGCCTGCATCATAGGTTGTGTTAAAGGCAGTGGAAAAGCTAAGACAGGGAAGTGTACTTGAGGGTACTTGAGGATGGAACTTAAGAAGCCTCGTGCAGATGATATTTAAGTTTCTTTTCAACAGTTTTGTGATCCTATAATTCTCTGCATGCCACGACAAAGGTACTTAGGTTTTAGTATGGAAACAGTTGTGAGTCTCAAAAATATTTGTTGGGACACTTTATCTTCATTTGATGTTCTTATAGGTGCCACAGGGGTGACATAGTCAGAGCCATGCTTTGTACACCTAGATTTTGGCAGCTTATTTTGTCAACAATGTGTAGTGTTGAATGAAGTGGAAAAGAATTGATGATTAGAAGTAAGAAGACTGTCGAAATAATATAGATTAGAAAATAGTATAGATGGTGCTACTAGAAAATAATATAGGTTAGGAAAAATTGTATAGATTAGAAATAAAGTTCTAATCTTTGATAGAATTGTAAAGAATACAGAGTTAGGGACCAGGGTGGGTGTTATAGCAGCTTAGATGCTGCTTGGGATACCTGCATCCCTCGCTGGAGTCCTGGTTCTGCTCCTAATGCCGACTTCCTGTTAATGCACACCCTTGGAGGCAGTGGTGATAGCTCAAGTAGTTGTTCCTTGCCACTCATGTGGCAGACCCAGACTGAGTTCCTGGCTCTTGGCTTCAGGCTGCCATTGCTCCAGCTGTTACAGGCATTTTGGGATACAGCAGATGAGATGTCTGTCTCTCTCTGCCTTCCTTATAAAATAAATAAATACATAGCAATTTAAACCAAGATATGGGGATAAATATAAGACTAATTTTAGAATTGTATTTTACAGGCTTGAGCAACTGATTGATTGTGGATTTAGTGGGGATAGTCTTGGAAATTGAGAGTTCAAAATTAATTTGAAAGTTGGAGGCTGGCAGGTAATCTGAATTACTGTATGATTAATAGATACAGACATTCTAATAGTAAACACACTTAGACACAGAAGCATACACAAGATACAATACTTTTGCAAAGATAACTCCTAGTAGTTGTCACCATGGATTTGGCCGTCTTTAGTGCCTATTAGTAGAGAATAAAACAGCTCTAACTTCAAAGTCGATTTGGATAAAATGACATCAGGAAATTCCACTGTATTTCTTTTTAAATAAAAAGTCAAAGGCCCTTCCTCAGGCTCTTTTGGTTACTTAATTTTCTTATCCTTAATTGTCTCCTTCTAAGAATAGAAGAAATAAGAATAAAAAAAATAGAAGAAATAGAATAAAAAAGTGGGGCCACTTTATCAACTTGGGCAGATTGATCTTTTTGAGGTTAGATTTCACTATATTAATAGATGTCCAGCAGCTCCAAAATCTATTTAATTTATGTGGGCAACAGTTTTTAGGCCACTAACTAGATACATTGTCTTATCTAATCAAACTGAAATTGTTTCTTTTTTTCTTTAGAATGAAAGGGTTCTGTTTTTTTTTTAAATTAATTTATTTATTTGAAAGTTACACAGAGAGAGAAGGAGAGGCAGAGAAAGAGAGGTCTTCCATCCACTAGTTCACTCCCTAATTGGCCACAACGGACCGAGCTGCACTGATCCAAACATCTACAGCCAACTTATATTTGATCAAGGATCTAAAACCAATTCCTGGAGCAAGGACAGTCTATTCAATAAATGGTGCTGGGAAAACTGGATTTCCACGTGCAGAAGCATGAAGCAAGACCCCTACCTTACACCTTACACAAAAATCCACTCAACATGGATTAAAGACCTAAATCTATGACCTGACACCATCAAGTTATTAGAGAACATTGGAGAAACCCTTCAAGATATTGGCACAGGCAAAGAATTTTTGGAAAAGACCTGGGAGGCACAGGCAGTCAAAGCCAAAATCAACTATTGGGATTGCATCAAATTGAGAAGTTTCTGTACTGCAAAAGAAGCAGTCAGGAGAGTGAAGAGACAACCGACAGAATGGGAAAATAGATTTGCAAACTATGCAACAGATAAAGGGTTAATAACCAGAATCTACAAAGAAATCAAGAAACTCCACAAAAACAAAACAAACAACCCACTTAAGAGATGGGCCAAAGACCTCAATAGACATTTTTCAAAAGAGGAAATCCAAATGGCCAACAGGCACATGAAAAAATGTTCAAGGTCACTAGCAATCGGAGAAATGCAAATCAAAACCACAATGAGGTTTCACCTCACCCCAGTTAGAATGGCTCACATTCAGAAATCTACCAACAACAGATGCTGGCGAGGATGTGGGGAAAAAGGGACACTAACCCACTGTTGGTGGCAATGCAAACTGGTTAAGCCACTATGGAAGTCAGTCTGGAGATTCCTCAGAAACCTGAAGATAACCCTACCATTCAACCCAGCCATCCCACTCCTTGGAATTTACCCAAAGGAATTTAAATTGGCAAACAAAAAAGCGGTCTGCACCCTAATGTTTATTGCAGCTCAATTCACAATAGCCAAGACCTGGAACCAACCTACATGCCCATCAACGGTAGACTGGATAAAGAAATTATGGGACATGTACTCTATAGAATACTATACCGCAGTAAGAAACAACAAAATCCAGTCATTTGCAGCAAAATGGAGGAATCTGGAACACATCATGCTGAGTGAAATAAGCCAGTCCCAAAGGGACAAATACCATATGTTCTCCCTGATCGGTGACAACTGACTGAACACAAAAAAGGAAACCTGTTGAAGTGAAATGGACACTATGAGAAATGGTGACTTGATCAGCATAGCCCTGACTGTTAATGAACAACTTAATACATTATCCCTCTTAGTAGTTTTTTTTGTCTGTTCTACTTAATATGACTGGTTTAATTCTGTAATTAATACACAGCTATTCTTAAGTGTTGAAAATTAACTGAAATGTGATCCCTGTTAAACATAAGAGTGGGAATAAGAGAGGGAAGAGATGTACAATTTGGGACATGCTCAAGCTGACTTGCCCCAAATGGTAGAGTTAGAAACATACCAGGGGACTCCAATTTAATCCCATCAAGGTGGCATGTACCAATGCCATCTCACTAGTCCAAGTGATCAATTTCTGTTCACAATTGATCATAATGAAAGGACTAAGAGTCAAAGGGAGCACATAAACAAGTCTAGTACCTGCTAATACTAACCGATAGAATAAATAAAGGGGAGAGTGATCCAACATGGGAAGTGAGATACTCAACAGACTTATAGAATGGCAGATGTCCTAAACAGCACTCTGGCCTCAGAATCAGCCCTAAAGGCTTTCCAATCTGGCTGAAAAGCCCATGAGAGTATTTCAGGCATGGAAAGCCAAGACACTCTGGCAAAAAGATCTCTGTGAGTGATATCCCAGTGGAAAGAACAGGTCTTCAAAGAAGGAGGTACCTTTCTCTGAAGGGAGGAGAGAACCTCCACTTTGACTATGACCTTGTCTAAACAAGATAAGAGTCGGAGAACTCACGGGGCTTCCATAGCCTTGGAAACTCATGACTGGTGCATAGGGAGATTACTGATGCCATAAACAGGAGTGTCAATTTGTAAAGTCAACAACAGGAGTCACGGTGCACTTACTCCTCATGTAGGATCTCTGTCCTTAATGTGCTGTACATTGAGACTTAATGCTATAATGAGTACTCAAACAGTATATTTCACTTTGTGTTTCTATGGGGGTGCAAACTGTTGAAATCTTTACTTAATGTATACTAAACTGATCTTCTGTAAAAAAAAAAAAAGAAATTATCAGTTCCCAACTTGACTCTCACTGGGATTAAACATGACAATAGGTCTGATCTGATTTCATCATCATTTAAAAAATCATCTATTATTTTTCACTTTATGTTTCTGTGTGGGAGCAACTTGTTGAAATCTTTACTTAATATATGCTAAACTGATCTTCTGTATATAAAGAGATTCGAAAATGAATCTTGATGTGAATGGAAGGGGAGAGGGAGTGGGAAAGGGGAGGGTTGCGGGTGGGAGCGACGTTATGGGGGAGAAGCCATTGTAATCCATAAGCTGTACTTTGGAAATTTATATTCATTAAATAAAAGTTAAAAATAAAAAATAAAAAAATAAAAAACAAAACAAAAAGCACAAAGGCTAATAAACATACAAAATGATGCTCAATCTTACTGAAATTAAGCTACAATGAAATATAATTTCATACAATATAAGATTGGCAAAAATTAAAGGTTGCAAATCCAACCTTGACAAGAAAGTTTGAAAAACAGGATGCTTGGCCAGCGCCGCGGCTCAGTAGGCTAATCCTCCACCTAGCGGCGCTGGCACACCGGGTTCTCGTCCCGGTCGGGGCACCAGATTCTTTCCCGGTTGCCTCTCTTCCAGGCCAGCTCTCTGCTGTGTCCCGGGAAGGCAGTGGAGGATGGCCCAAGTGCTTGGGCCCTGCACCCCATGGGAGACCAGTATGTACCTGGCTCCTGCCTTCGGATCAGCGCGGTGTGCCGGCCGCAGAGTGCCAGCCGTGGCAGCCATTGGAGGGTGAACCAACGGCAAAGGAAGACCTTTCTCTCTGTCTCTCTCTCTCTCTCACTGTCCACTCTGCCCTGCCAAAAAAAAAAAAAAAAAAGGAAAACAG